GGTGAATGTCCATTGGGTTGGGGGGGAGCTCTAACTCATGGTATTTTATGTAAAGTGCCATGAGTTAGAACAGGGGCCTGCATGTCTGTCAGTGCCCTGAATAATTCTGCTTCTTTTCTATTTTTCTCACTCATTCTATGTGTATATTTTAAATTTTTTCCCTAATTTTCAAATAGATTGTAAAAACTGCCTGATGGTAATCAATCATCACCCTCACTTCCGAGCAAACCCAAACTACTCCGTAGCACCACCAACAGAGGAACCGGTGTATAACTGGCGGAATGTAGTAGTAAGTAAATCAATTACACAGCAGTAAAAAGAAAACAAACTGTTCATATTTCACACCCTAACAAAAATTTATCCTGGCGTAGAGTAATTCTGGCGTAGTTACATAAGAAATCTTTGCACAATAAGTTTGAAGGTCTCCCTTTAATGCTAACTGCTTGTGGTACCAAATAGGACCAACTATTTGAGGAAATCAAAAAGTAAAGAGAAGTAATTTTTTTTACTATCTGGTACTGTAGTTTAGATGATGTCAGTCACTGGAGTTCTGTGCAAGCTAACAAACAATCTTAGTATTAGGGTGTGGAGGGGTGACCTTTATATTTTTTGGGAGCAGACAGAGAAGAACAAACTCTAGGGTCAGTAGTTTGTTCCTTTTTTTAGGATGTTTTAGAATGGTAGTTTTATGCAGAGAAAAAGAGACTGTCAAGTATTGCACATGCTGTTCCTGGGCCACTTGGTTTTAGAACGCTGGGGAAGAGGAAGCAGTATTTTGGCTCTTGATCCAAATTGGCTTTCCTGGTTTTTGCTTTTTTTGAAAGGACAGTAGGTACGTAAGCATGGAGGCGGCTCCAATGTTCTATAATTACAATGAGTCAGAGCAGATTCAATTAATCGACAAGTATGCTGGAGTGTGCCACATAGATATGATTAACTGAGTCTGCTTCAGCATCCCCACACTTCAAAATGGTGGCATGGGTGCTTGCTTGAACTAAAGCTTTAGTGCAAGTGCCCTTGCTGCCATTTTGAAGCACGGGACGCTGATACATGAGAAGCTGTGGTGCTTTAATTAGAGCGG